TAATGAATCTGACAGGCTTTTACATTTGTTTGTTTGATTGTCCTTTCTCACTTAGATTCAAGGTGGGTAACACAGTGTAAGTCAATGCAGTCAATAGGATGACACATCTAATAAGCAATGTAGTAGGAGTAGGAAATCTGAAAACAAAGCATAAAATGTTAGACATATTATGTTACACAGTGCGTAAAATGGCGTTACGTAAGTATAAGGCAATGCAGTGAGAGCAAGATAATACATACAGCAAAGCAAACAGATAATAGATACCAAACACAGCGGTATAGTTCACAGTCCCATTCCCTTTATAAAATTTATTTTTTAAACATTTATACCCTTCCTTTCTTTGTGGTTCAATCTGCCTTCCTGAACCATGTCATTATAATATAGCCCTGTCCCTTTTAGAGAAATGGCGTCCTGTACAATTCTGTTTTCCATAGTCTGAGGAGTGACAGAAGTGTGGGAGCCTTCCAGACCTCCTCAGCCAAGCCATTCCACACGATGGGGGCCACAACAAAGGATGTACCAGTATAGGCAGTTGTTAACCCTTCTACTTCCAGTTTCAGAGCACTGCCCGTTCAACCGTATGATCTCTGTTTATCTGAGAGCCAGTTTGGTATAGTGGTTAAGAGCATGGACTCTAATCTGGGAGAACCGGGTTTGATTCCCCCACTCCTCCACATGCAGCCGCTGGTGTGACCTTGGGTCAGTCATAAATTCTTTTAGAGCTGTTCTCTCAAGGGCAGTTCTTGAGAGAGCTCTCTCAGCCCCACCTACCTCACAGGGTGTCTGTTGTGGGGAGGGGAAGGGAAAGACGTTTGTAAGCCACTCTGAGACTCCTTCGGGTAGTGAAGGGCGGGGTATAAATCCAATCTCTTCTTCTTCTCTGACATTTGTGCCAAGTACTACATCCCCTCCCCCCAAACAACACTTTTGAATCAAATTCCCTGGCAAGTTTTTTGACACCCCCCCCCCGCAAATACTTTCTGCCAACTGTTGTAGTAGCCAGTTTGCTTTCCCTCCATCCAGCCTTTCCTACCTCCCAAGTGTGCTAACTGAGTAGGGTGCTTGGGTGAAGTACTTGAGTGGATGGAGCAAAGACAAGGGAGACTGCCAGGACTCTTGCCATTGCTTTTTTCGCCCTTTGGGGATGCATGGAAGGAGCTTGCTATGCTGCTGTGTCTTTAAGAGAGCAGCAGAGGTGGTGGAGGCAGACAGGGGAGTCTCTTGCAAGGCGAGGGGGTTGGGAGCTGTGTTGCCTCTGAGCCGAGTTAGTGTGAGCTAGCTCAAAGTTTTTTAGCGTCTTCTACATAATTACCAGAGATGATCTATAGTCCAAGATTGTCCAGTGTTATAGTCCAGGTACCATCTTTGTGCAAGCATGCAGCCATGTGCTCAGACTCACAAAGGAGCTCTTTGTCTCTCCCAGAGACAGCATGGCAAGACAGCATTTCAGGTGTCCATCCGAGATCTCACAAACAGGAACAGAGAGAGAGCTCTTCTCCAAGGGATCAGACAATTAAAAATCCCAATCTATTAGCAAATTAGCCCTGGCCAGGAGCCAATTGGAGTAGACATAGGAGTGTCCAATTGTTGAGTTGCCATGGGTGCAACATCTGAATGGCTAGAGCTCTGAAGGCCACACCTGCAGCCATGTGACCCCCAAATTTCAGCTAGTCCATGGGCTACGTGCCTTCTGACATGCTTCGTGGGCTTCTGACATGCTTGACAGAGGCCATCTGGTCTCTGTCAGCATGGAAGTGTGAAGAATATGGGGTTATATGGCAGGGCTATTGAGGCCATTTGGCTTCAACAGGAACAACAGCATGGCATCAGCAAGACATTCCAGGGGAAGGCATAAAACCTTTAGAAATCAATATTTCTATACAGCTCACAACGCAGAATCTTTGCTCACAAGACTCCACAGGTTAGAGGGAGCATTGTTTGGGAGAGGTGGACACTAGCAAGAGCCAGCAGTTTTGGGGCCACTCTTGCCCCAAAGAGGCTCTGTAGGTGTTCAGCATCAGCGGGAAACAAACCGAGATATATGGGTTCTAACTGTAGTTAGTAGCCCTACTTGATGTCTTGGCTTCAGATCCTGGTTTGAGGTACCTGGACTGAGGCGACGGCACAGGTTCAGTCAATCAGTGATTGGTTTATTTAAATCCTGGTTTCATATTATGTTTGAACCAACACATGCGTAAAGTTCAGTTGATTTTTCCCATAAAAAGGTCTTTTCTGCCCAGGAAAGGCTGCAGCTGGTGAAAGGCACCCCTGGCCACTCCTGCCCCCTGATTATCCAACAGGAGGCATTCCACATTAGTCGAGTGGAACTTTGCTTCTTCCCCCTCTGCCCCTGCACCCCCTGAGAAACCGCTCTGAAAGTCTGGAAGACCTTGGGTGACCATGGGCCATGGTAGTGAAGGACACTGTGGCAAGAAGGAGGAATTGGCATAAAATTTTACTTCCCCGTTGTCTGAGAAGAATTGTGGCTTGGTGGAAGAGCATCGCTTTTTCATGCAGAAGATCCCAGGTTCAATCCTTGGCGTCTCCAAGTAACAGGATCAGGTAGTAGGTGATGTGAAAGGCTTCTGCCAGGAAAACTGCTGCCAGTTAGAGTAGACTGCTGACCCTGAGAGACCTGACTTGGTGTAAGGCAGGTTCATGCGTATTCACTCTCCTGAGCTCCCAGTAGGTGCCGGAATTGTAATGCTAGTTGTGTGCAGATCTCATGCATGTGTTCTGGTTTAGATTACAGTCTTCTGGCACAAGGCTGATGGGTGTGCTAACTTAGTTGTGTCTACACTTACGACAATTTTTAATCATCCAATTTTAGGTTGCATATCTTTCTTTTAGGCTCTTTCTAAGTACAATGGTACTGAGAGCCAGTGGCGTAGTGGTTAAGTGTGCGGACTCAAATCTGGGAGAACCGGGTTTGATTCCCCACTCCTCCACTTGCAGCTGCTGGATGACCTTGGGCAAGCCATAGTTCTGACAAGAGCTGTTCCTGAAAGACCAGTTCTTGAAAGAGCTCTCTCAGCCCCATCTACCTCGCAGGGTGTCTGTTGTGGGGAGGGGAAGGGACTACACTTACGACAGTTTTTAATCATCCAATTTTAGGTTGCATATCTTCCTTTTAGGCTCTTTCTAAGTTCAATGGTATATTGATCCAGTGAACTTCTCTGATCCAATCTCTTCTTCTTCTTCTATATTGATCCAGTGAACTTCTCTAGTAGTAAGAAGAATTACACTGTAGTGTTAAAGGCCCCAATACTCTCCAATCCTTGATAGGTTGAAATTCAGTGTAAAGAGTTCATGATCAGAGTGGTCTGTAATAACCATGGACCCCTGACACTTATAAAGTTCACCTGACATACTTTTTTTTGATCTATTTCAGGTGGCTTCAGCCATGGATTGTCATACTGTCACCATGTCCTCCTTATCCTTTATCTTCCCTCTATGTTTTCTTACTTGCCTGCTTCATTTTTTTCCTCCGGCTGGCGTGGGATTATGACTTCTTCTCTGTCTCCCTGTTTTCTATTGTATTCTTTCCTTCCTCTGCTTTGAGTCCCTCATGAGAGAAAAGCAGATTAAAAATGGCTTAAAAGGACATTTCTTTATTTTCTCTGTTCCTTGACTGACAGATCTATAAAATGGCCTTATTTTGAGGTCAGGACAGGTGCTGACTTCATAGATTTGATTTTGTACTTGTAACAGTTCTAAACTTGTTGAAGTATATGTGTTTGATAACTGCCACATATATTTTCTTCTTTTTTCCCAATTAGGCTGCTATTGTCAAGGATGAAGAATCACAGAAGAAACTTGTGCAACTGAGCGCCGACTACCTGAAAGAAACTGAGAGTCTTAAAAATGAAATGGTAATGGCACAGTCCAGATATGATGAAACTTTGGCAGCGCTGCAGAAGGAACTGCATGCAGAAAGGAGGAAACAAGAAGAGCTCTTGGACCAACTTAAATTTCACAGTAATTGGCAAGAAGAAGTCAAAAGACTAGAGGAAGGGGTCCACCAAACAAAGGCTGTGTATGAGCAACAGATCTCAGATCTGGAGAAGCGGTTGGGAGCCTGCAGTGAAGCTAAGGAGAAAGAAATTTCTGATCTGCAAAATGTTATTGAAAACAATCCTCGGGGTTACCAAAATGAAATTGATAAGTTAAATGAAGAACTGGTGAAACTGAAGACTTCACACCAAGAGGAGGTGTCCGATTTGATGCACCAGCTCGAAGCTTCTGCGAATGTGTGTGAAGAAGAACGAAATAAGGTAGAACGGTTACAGCAGGACTTGAGAGAACAGTATGAGGTGCGAGAGAAAATCTTGCAGAATGAATTACATGCTTGCAAAGAGAAGTATGAATGTGAACTGGAGTGCTTAAGACAGGCTTTAACTAAAAATGAAGACAACCAAACAGAGAATAGAAATGAACCTCTCGAGTCAGAACTGAGGGGAAAGGCCAGGCACTTAGAGAGTGCTCTAAAAGAACTGGAATCTCAACACAGTATACTGCAAGATGAAGTAACCTATATGAATAATGTTAAGATGAAACTAGAAATGGAAGTCCAGCATATGAAGGACGAATATTTTCATGAACGGGAGGATTTGGAGTTCAAAATCAATGAACTGCAGCTTGCCAAAGAAGATCATTGCTGTGTAATTGAAAAACTAAAATTGGAGCTTGAGGCCAGAAGAGAGCAGTGTGAGACGATTGCACAAGAGCATAGCCTAGAAATTCAAGATCTTGTGGCAAGGCACAAGAAAGAAATGTGTGAACTGAAACAAACATTGTCATCAAGTTTAGAGACAGAAAACAGATCACTGGCTCAGGAAATCCTAGATCTTAAGGAACAGTGTCAGAAGTATATTCTGGAAAAAGAAGAAGCAATTGATAGCTACGAAAGCTTGAGAGAAACTATGGAAACCCTACAAGCTGAATTAGGAGAATCGGCTGGCAAGATAAGCCAAGAATTCAAATCAATGAAGCAACAGCAGGCTTTGGATGTTGATGAACTACAGAAGAAGCTTATAGCTGCTTTCAGTGAAAAGGACATTCTTCTGGAGACGGTGAATCGCCTTCGGGAAGAGGTGGAACAGCTTTCTTGCAAAAGAGAGGAAGTGGAAGAGCTCAGACTTAAAACCAGGGTGCTTCAGGAGGAAAATGAGAAACTTGTTGCTTCTCTTCTTCAAAGAGATGCTGCCGTAAAGGAGCTGGAAGAGAAGGAGCGAGAGCTTTGCTCTCAATACAGCACCGTGTCCGATGAGGTCAGATGCTCCATGGAGACAATCAAAAACCTCCAGGAACAGTGCAAAGCAGAGCGAGCAGAGGTCCTGGTACTTCAACAGCAGGCTGAGACTCTTCGCCTTTGCAACCACGAATTAGAACAGCAGGCAGAGGAATTAAAAGAGGAATTGAGAGGCGCTTCAGTGGAAAAAGAAGATAGTCAGCAGAAACTCCAAAAATTAGAGCAACAAACTGAAGCTCTTCAGCAAGACAGGGAGCGTCTGTCGTCTGAAGTCAAGAGCCTTCACGATGAAAGTAACAAACTAAAAGAAGAAAGAGATGGTGTTGATAAGAAGCTGCAGAGCATGGCGTCTGAAAAAGAGGAATGGCTGGTGTTTAAAGAGAAAGTGGATGGCTTGGAAATGAAACTAAAAATGGCCAGCGATGAAAAAGACCACGTAGAGAAGCTCCTTGACGAGGAAAAGTCCTTCAAGTCCCTTGTAGCCAGTCAGTTGTGCAGCCTCCTTGAACAAATGGGATCTGGATGTCCAGATGAAAATGAAGAGCACGATGTTGTTGCTCTCCTGCAAGCGGCAAGGGAATCCTTGGCAAGAATGAAGGAAGAGAAACAGAATCTGACTCGGCAGAAGGATGACAATGCTCTCTTACAGGAGGAGATCAGGAGGCTCCAGGAAGAAAATACAGCTTCTTGTCTAGAGCTGCAATCTCTGCTGGATAACTCTGAAAAAGAAAAATGCCTTTTGAGAGAAGAGCTGGAAGGAGCCTTGTCGGAAAAAGAAGCCCTCCAGCTAGATATCCAAGAGCTGACCCACGCCAGTGAGAAAGTCAAGGCTGAGAACCAAAGTCTTTTGGCTTGCATTGAAGATATTTATGAAAAACTCGCAGGTTGTGAAAGTAAGATGAAAGAGCAAGAAAACAATTTAGAAGAAGAGAAGAAAAATCTGAACTCAATTCTAGAACAAAAGGAGTCTGAACTGAGCAGCGTGCAGGCTGAGCTTTCTGTCCTAAAGGTTAGTCTTCTATCAGTGATGTACTCAAACTCACGCTCTCGGGCCCTAATGCATGAAAGGAAAGATAATGTAACTTGACATCCCCCATGAAGATAATTCCAGATTAATTAAATAAAAACAAAACAGGAGTCTTTTGGCTTCTGTAACCTGGACCGACATATCTGAAGGACCGCCTCTTCCCGTAGAAGCCCCGAAGAGCCTTATGCCCTATGGATCAACACCTGCTGGTAGTCCCTGGCCTGAAAGATATCCGTCTTTCCTTGGCCAGGGCCAGGGCTTTTTCCACCCTGGCCCCTCCCCTGCCTGGTGGAACATGCTCCCCATTGAGATCAGGGCCCTGCGGGATCGATTTCAGTTCTGCAGGGCCTGCAAGACGGAGCTGTTCCGCCAGGCCTTTGGCCGAGGCAGCGGACATCCACATATGGCCTCCCTGAGGTGGTCGTCACTCTGTTAGCAACTACTGTCTATGGTCAGGAACCTCCCACAGCTAGGAAAGAAATTCTTTGTTATTAGCTGTGACCACCATTTTAATATTTATGACGATGCTTTAAATTTTAATGTTATTACATTAACTAATATATTTTGTATAAACGATATGTTGTTACCCGCCCTGAGTCCGCCTCTGGGGAGGGAGGGCTATAAATGTGAAGAAATAAAGAAAGACTAACAAAATTCATCACAGCATGAGCTGGGGCTGGTTACACTGGGTCGGATCTTTTTAAAAATCTGGCCTCTTTTTGTAACGCCCACCCCCTTTCTGTTTGCAGCCTTTATAAATGCATATACCTAATGGGTACATGCTCCAGTGCATCTGTGAAGTGTTCCCTTCCTCATGAAAGCTTATGCTGGAATAAATTTTGTTAAATCCTTAAGGTGCTGCTGGAGGATTCCTGTTTCATTTTGACAACCTGCAGTCCCTTGTGGACTCAGTGGTATTGAGAGACTTATTCACGTTTCACACAGCAGTTACATGTGCTGCGTGTGTAGTGTAGTTTGCTGCAGTAGACACAGTGTTGGGGGAAGCCTTTAGGCATTATATGCATTCACCAAGGATAGAGACTTATTCACGTTTCACACAGCAGTTGCATGTGCTGCGTGTGTAGTGTAGTTTGCTACAGTAGACACAGTGTTAGGGGAAGCCTTTAGGCATTATATGCATTCGCCAAGGATGACCTGGATAGCCCAGGCTAGCCTGATGTCATCAGATCTTGGAAGCTAAGCAGGGTCAGCCTTGGCTATTATTTTGAAGGGCAACCTCCAAGGAATACCAGGGTCATGATGCAGAGGCAGGCAATGGCAAGCCACCTCTGAAACGTCTCTTGCCTTAAAAGAACAAGTCTAGCTTGCCACCTAGTGGTGCATAATGCTAAAAAAGCTAGAACTTCCGGCTGCCAGACAGTCTTAGGATCTCCTGGCTATACCACACGCAATGCCATATGATAATAATCATTATTATTAATTATTGCCAGGAAACCAAGGCCAGTAGTGCCTTCCAAGGATGTCTCTGATGCAGAGAGAGGGGTTCTTTTTCTTTGCCATGCCAGTTCTTCCATGTGTAGATATTTTGTTTGAAATGGGGTATTCAATCGTTTTAGCAGCCTGAATAGCCCTGACTAGTCCAACTTCATCAGCGCTTGTGTCTGCCATGGTTAGCACTTGGATGGGAGACCACCAAGAAAGACCAGGGTTGCTGTGCAGAGGTCGGCAGTGGCAAACCACACCTGTTTGTCTCTTTCCTGGAAAATCCTAAGGGGGTTGCCATAAATTGGCTGCAACTTGATGGCACTTTATTATTAGTAGTAGTAAATAATTTTAGCTGCTTTCCCACAGTGTGAAGCAGTACAGTCCATAAACAGTTTATTTGCTTGTCTGCTGTTTGAAATAATTAGAACTAAGTATGTCTTCCCTTCTTGCTTGGTTTTCACCGAGGCAGACTCATCATTCAGCCTTTAATCCTGAATAAACAAGTAAAAGATGGGTGCCTGGACTAGAGGTCAGATTTGTGATCAGGAAGTTAATCAGCTTCCAGTTCAGACCTGTGGGTTGTATCCTCACCACTCTGGTCAGCTGCGTATGGAGTCTTCTGCCAAAGGGAGAAGTCTTTCATGTTGGAGAATGGGCCCAGCAATGTCTGACGGACTGCCTTTAAAAGTCTGCCAAAACGTACTTTAAATGGAAAAGGGTAAAACTCTTCATAGGCTCCAAAGGCTCCTTTGTCCGCTTAACTGAGTGTGGAGGGGACGAGTACTGATTTTTTGGTGACTTATAATAGTTGTTGCTTGACGAAACCTGTTGCCATAAGTATGATGTTTGTTTTCAGCAAGGCCACCTAACAGATGATGCTGGGATTTATTTGTTCAAAGTAATATTTCTCCATACCATTTTTATCTGTTCTCTTTGTGGTATGCATATCGATACTGGTTGCCAACACAGCAATATTGTGAGCCCAGACCTATGCTTAGCTACCCAGCAGATCAGAGTATAGGATCAGGCTGCTGGCACTCATCAGGTGCCGGCAGCTTTGCTGCAGATTTGGCACTTGGCACTCCAGTTTTGGGACCAACTCGGTGGCATCCATTCCTGTTGCTGTCAGAAGAATGTCCCCAAGCAGCAATAAATTGATACATTTTCATCAGAGGCTGCTCTGCCCGGCTTACCTTGCAAGACCTCCGGGCGCGGGTAGCAGCGGGGTGCCCATCTAACTCATTTTGTTTACAATCCAGAATTCCGCAGCAGAGTCTTCTGTTAAGAGTGACCAAGAAGCACTGGACTCACAAAAAATAGGTAACTTTAAACCTTTGCAATCTGCATTACTTTGTAAATCCTTGTGTTTAGTGTTTCTTTGAGTGCATTGTCATAATTCCCAAATAGAGACAATATGTAAATATAACTAAGCCGTGCTTCTGTAGTCACTTAGAGGATTATACAAAAGGCTTTTGCTCCTCACACCTTCTTGTTAATTTTTATACACACCCTATGTATGACTGAATGCCACTGTAGGCTATGGAAAACAGCGAATGCAGTTGCTCCGAGTCAGCACAAAACCCTGTAGCTGAAATAAGCAGCCGCTCATGGGAATAGGCTGCTCTTATAAAGAGGATAGCAAAATATGGTGTATGATTCACACAGAGCTCAGCTCATACGCTTTTAGAAACTTTTTTGTTAGAATCCTGAAAAGCACAGTTTTCAGACAGTTTATCTCAAGTTTCCATGACCATTTGCAAATCTAGCGTTTAAAATGTCCAGTTGTCATCTCTGGTATCAAAGAGGTTGCCCTGCTACCTGAGTTGAGCAAGATCTGAAAAATAGACCAACATGTGGTCATGCTGTTATGTGAACATTGATCCAGTGTGAATTACAACATCCTTTCTTTACAGAGAGAACTCACAGTGAGCTTGATGGCCATGGGGAGAGCTTTTCTGCACAGACCTACTCATGTAGAGATTTTTGCTTATTTTGTCCTGGTTTAACTTGTTCTTTGAGTTAAGGTTTTGTTAAGATGTAGGGTATTGGAGCCACAACTTTGCCTTTGTAGCACACTGTAGCCTAATCTTTGTGGATTATGTTATAACTGATGAAGCAGATCATTAACATGAATAATTGTGCCACAATAATCCCAGAGTCACACATGTCTGAATCCGTTCAGTTCAGTGGGATGGACATGAACCTAATTTTTGCAGTTTGGGTCATGGCTGAACCATGAAACCATATGAACAGGGTGGTTGGTTCATGAAGAGACCTGGTTTGTGAGACATTTAAAGTTTAAACCCCTGCTTTTTCCTCTGTGCTGCTTTTCGTGGGGAGCAGAAAGCAGGGGTCTAAATGGCTCTGAGTCATTTAAACCAAATAGCTGAGCTGAAATAACTATTAATTCTTCCTCACATTTTAAGGTGACTTTTTCTTTGCTTTAGTGAATTTAGAAACACAGCTGAAAGAGAAGGAAGAAAAATTAAATAAAATTAAAGCCGTTGCCATGAAATTAAGGAAGGAGCTGGATTCTAGCAGAAAAGAGGTAACTTGCATCTGATCTTTAAAAATTTTAAATAAATGAAAAATTAAACAATAATTCCACACACAGTGAGAGATTTGTAATCCCATGGTGAAGCCACACAAGCCTTTTGAGGTCTGCTTTTAAATTGTTCCATTTGTTCTTCTCAGGATGATTCTAGAGCTTTCTGGTAGGTAATTCTCTGATTAGAATATCAAGTTCCACGGGGTTCTGTTTTGTCCTGTTTAATTTGTGTTGGAGGCCCCTAGAAATCTGGATGCCATCAGTGTGCTGGTAACTCTTTTCTTCTCATCTGGTCCTAGTCACGTAGTCTCAGTTTTGAAAAACGGTTCGGTCATATTAGATGACGGGATGTAGGTGAGCCTGAGAAGATGGAAACCATTGTGATTAGCAAGCCTCACACATAACTTAGATGCTATGTACTTCCTCTGCTCTTTTTCTCACAACTAAGGGCTTTGTTATACAATCCATGCTATGCATTCAGAAATCAAGGCAATATAGATCCATGGCTACTTTCTGATTCTGGAATTTCCTTCTGTCTTAAGCATCTCTCAGGGGCAGTATATGATCCTTTTCTTCAGAATGGCATCCAGCTATAGCTTGGCCTGTAGTTTGGTGATTTTGATTCATGCTCTTGCTAGTATTTTATCTTGATTTGAACCATGAGTCTTCTGAACAGAATGAGATGGGAATGTACTTAATATGAATATTGTAATTAACAGAGCTGTATTGGACTGTGCCCTTAGATGCAGTCGCTTAGAGAAGAGCTGGAGCGAACACGGTCTGAGAGAGAGCAGCTCTCTTCTTCAATGGGAGAGATCATTCAGGGAGCAGAGGGCTATAAGGTAAAATGCAGTTGCTTTATCTTCATATATGATTTACATGCTTGAAACACTTACAGTGTAGTCTCTAAGGACAATTCCCTGAAAATAAGCCCCATTGAATAGACCTGAGTAGGATTCTGGGTAGACCAGTTTAGGATTGCTTTCTTAGTCAAAGCAGGGCTTGCACCAACTTTGCATCTGTTAAAGCTGCTGTGGAATTATAAGTAGGTGCCTTGTTTACAGCAAACTGTACTGTGGCAGAAAGCTGCCAGTTGTTTTGTTGGTGTGGATTTTCTTGCCCCAACTGAGAAATAAACTGCTGTTCTCCTTAGCTGCTCCTTCCTTCCTTCCTTCCTTCCTTCCTTCCTTCCTTCCTGTTAAGTCACAGCTGATTTGTGATGCCAGACAATCTTAGGATCTCCTGGCTATACTACACACAATGCCATACGATTATTAATTTAAATTTAATTTTGTGGCAACTCTATGGGGTTTTCAAAACAAGAGACATTCAGAGGTGGTTTGCCATCGCCTGCCTCTATGTAGTGACTCGGGGTACTAGGTGGTTGCCCATCCAGTACTAACCAGGGCTGACCCTGTTTAGCTTCCAGGATCTGACAAGATTGGGCTAGCCTGGACTATCCAGGTCAGGGCCTCAGCTACTTAGGTTACCACTTTTCCCCCTTTTTAATATTTATTGCAGTCTTCTAGAATATTGCACAAAACTCACAGAGAGATCATGCAGAGGATTAGGATTTTTCTTCTTCTGAAAGTGATCCAGTTGGAAAAAATAAAGGGAACTGCCCTTTATCTCCATCTCCTTTATTGCCTAAGCAGAATGAGCATCATATGGAAAGGCAGAGTCAACTTTGCCATTCTTTGCTAATGGCAGTGCCTCCATTTGGGTTAACAAGTTTTCACACAATTTTGCGTTTATGTTTCCACTTGCCTAATTTCAGAGGAGTCAGACTTTGCATTTCATTGCAACTATGCTGACATTTCCTGTATGCATGCCACAAACTAGCTACTTAATTCTTAATTCAACACTAGTATAATGTAGATGCCCCCCCAATAAAACTGCCATTTTGCTGTCATTAAAAAAGTGTAGTGCTTAACCTTGATCCTGAACACACATCTGTTTGCCACTAGGTGTGTGGATTTGGTGATGAGGGTACCCCCATCGGCCTCCCCATGGTGCTGTCCCACCCCCCCCCCCCCGATCTTGTTTAAATGAGCCTCTAAACAGCTGCTTGTTACTTGAATCCACACTGAAAGGTTCAGCAAACAAATGATGGGGTGTACCAACTGCTGGGCCAGTACATGTTGACAAACACATTTTGAACCACCCTTGCAGGGATATAACCACAAAGTTGCCATTGGATACGTCCATGCAGATCTTGCTGATGGTTTGCCAGTAAACAAAAATTTCAGTGCTATTTCCGTAGGAGGGAATAGTTCTCTCTCGCTCTCTCTCTCTCTCTCTCGCTCTCTCTCGCTCTTTTCCTCTAGGGTACTTCTGGTTTTATGATAAATAAAAATAGATGTACATACTATTGCTTGCATGCTTAGCACATTAGTGGTGCCTGTTTGTTTAACAAAAGTTTAAAGGTATTTGTATGTATTCCAAGAATCTCTTAATAGAGTTTGACAAGCAAGCAGAACAGCTGGATTTTGAAAAAGACCGATCTCGGAACTTGGAACGTCATATAGAGGATCTTACAAGACAACTGGACACATCAACTCAGCAGGTACCCCTGATATAGCTACATATGATACTTCAGCATCTTTCCTATCCAGAATCCCTCAACACAGAGTGTTAAACTCCTCTCTTCTTATATGTCAAAGAGCATTCTATCCCTGATTATATCGGGGTTTATTTTATTTACGGGGGACAAATTTAATATGTTCTAATGCATTTGGATGAAAGGCTTTTTGTTCCTTTAAAAATGTATTAAATGTTCAGAATCCATCAACTAACCATATTTTTTCCCATACATAAACAGACTTGATAGGGGAATAAATATTACATTATAAATATTACATTATATTAAATGTAATCTTAAATATATTAATATCAAAATACTATTAATATTTTAAAAGCAAATTAAAAACATTTCTTATACCATCGTTCTGATTTAAATTGTTTTGATTTATTCTGCTTTGCTTCAGAAACACTTAATGTGCTTACTTCTTTTGAGGCATTGTGGAATAACTAAACATTTTTTGGTGTTTTGTCATTCTTAATTTTTTCCCCCCAAGCACGGAGCTAGAAAACAAATTGCTATTTTACCGAAAACTTGCTGGCTGCTGCAGGTCAGGTTCAGGGTCACTGCACATAAAACATGTTTCCTACAATGGTGCAACTGACATAGATCATAACTTATATAGGTCATGTCACTGAATACTGGTTGAGAACCTAGTCATGGTTTCCTAAGGAGTATACACCTGGGAAAGTAGGCATCTTTGCCTTGTATCTGTTGCACAGAATAGGTTTGTATGGATTTCTTTTTTTCCATTTTTCTTTTTTTAAACACCTATATGTGTTCTTCGGGTTAGGGAAGTATCCTGTGTGGAATTGTCTAGAGGCTTGGAACACATTTTTTCCAAAGCCCAGAAGACATCCTTTGCAAATGAGAGCTCCGCTAGGGATGGGCACAAATGGGGCAGGAGTAATGCTAAAGGTTGGTTGGCTCCAACTGACTTTCAGAATTACCCCCCCCCCCCAATACCGATGCCTGTGTGTGTTCACTTCCAGGTGCATGCAGTGTCTATGAGAGCCATTTAAACAGAGCCCTTTCAGTTTCCCCCAGTTTATGCCCATCCCTAATCTCGACTGACTGTTTCTTTCCATGCTTGTTGCGAATACCCCTTTTAGCAAGACCAGTGGCACTCTGCTAACGAAGACCTCTTGGCTCGAATAGAGACTCTGCAGACCAACACCAAGCTATTGGAGACCCAGCTGTTAGAAATGCAGAAAGCCAAAGCAAAAACAGACAAAGAACTCGAAGCTGAAAAACTTCTAAAAGAACAAAAAATAAAGGTAAGCCAGAGTCTTTTAAAAAAACCCAGAAACTGACCCAAAATAGTTATATATATTTTTCCTCAATGAACAGCGCTTAAACTGTTATTGCAGGAGCACAGCACCACTGCGAAAGAAGTTGAGGATCTGCAGGCCCAACTCCAGAAAGAAAGAAAGCATCTCCAAAAAGTCTTGGAAGAACTGGAGATGGCAAAGAAGGTAGATTGCGATGCCTGGTAACCACCAGGATGATGGTCTGAGTGAGCATCTGTGATCTGGGCGGGCTGATCTCATGGGCTTAACATCAGGGGAAGCACTCATGCTTGTCAGGACCAGAGGCGCAAACAAACAAGAAAAGCCCCCTTCCGAGAGTCAGTGACTGCATTCCCTTTCCTTGGTCACATAGAATTCAGCGGGAGCCATTGATAGGTCAACTGGTTCCTGTCTGTATAGCCCCGCCTCTTTCTCTTTGTATTACAGACTGAGTTGAATTATTTCACCATATGGCAGAGGGAATATTAAAACTGGCTGGGAGGTGATAAAACTTAAGAGAGGTAGTGGATCAGGCTACACTCTGCCAAATATGTTTAAATTTGCCCTCTTTCCAGTTTGTGTCAGATAGTAAGGATTCACTTGGTGGACTAATTATTTGCCGTCTGCTCCACAGAGTTCCTATTGACATTAACACAACTGCTTTGCAGTAACTGGTTTGTAGATTGCAGGCAAACATTGCCTAAAAAGCTGTATACTGTTTCTGGGAGCAGAGCTGGCAATTGCTCTCAGAGCTACTTACAACTGTACCACTTGAATGTTCTTGGAAGCACTTCAGAATTATCTAGAATTTTTTTAGTAAAGGTAAAGGTTCCCTTGCTCGAAAGCCAGTCGAATCCGACTCTAGGGTTGCGGTGCTCATCTCCGTTTCAAAGCCAAAGAGCCAGCGCTGTCCGAAGACGTTTCCGTGGTCATGTGGCCGGCATGACTAAACACCAAGGCGCACGGAACGCTGTTACCTTCCCACTGAAGTGGTACCTATTTATCTACTTGCAATTTCTTGCTTTCGGACTGCTAGGTTGGCAGGAGCTGGAACTAGAGACGGGAGCTCACTCCGTCATGCGGCACCCGGGTCTTGAACTGCTGAACTACTGACCTTCCACAGTCTGCAGTTCAGCGTCTTAACCACTTGAGCCACCGCATCTTCAGCGCCCAAGGTCTCCCTGACACCCTCGTCACGGACAACGGGACGGCGTTTACCTCGAGCGAGTACCAGGACTTCACGAGGTACTACGGGATCCGCCACGTCTGTTCCGCCCCGTTCCACCCGGCAACTAATGGACAGGCAGAGCGCATGGTGCGCACCACCAAAGAGGCGCTTCGCCGGATCGAGAGCAAGGACTGGGGCTATAAGTTTTGGAAGGGACCATACAGGCCATCTTGTCCAACCCCTGCTCAAAAAAGATTTGACCAGTGGAGTTCTAAATTTTAATACTGTAAATATCGTCTGCTTAAATGATAACATACAGGATGCTCAGAAGAGTACACTGATGGACATGGAAATAGCTGATTATGAGCGTTTGGTTAAAGAACTGAATCAAAAGCTGAGTGACAGAGGCAGCAGAATTGAGGATCTTGAGCAAGAGATTAAAATCCAGAAGCAAAAGCAAGAGACGCTGCAAGGTGAAATGGGTGAGCATTGCATTGTCTCTACATTCCTTTTGTCTAAAGGTTCAGTGTATATTTCAATGTAGCAAGGGGATTTTGTGCATACACCTGAGTAATTGTAAAGAAGCAGGGTATTTATAGTATCATGCAAGCAAAGTTTAATAGCACTAGTTCAGTAGATGCAAATAATGTCCCAGAAGTTGCTTTAAGTAGATGCTGAAACATTTTGCTAGGAAGATCAAGGGCATGCTAGAACATGTACAAATGTGATATCCTGTTGGGCAGGCACCATTTCTCAGAGGGTTAGACAACAGTCTGTCAGCAGAACATACTGGCACTGGTATATGTAGGTCTTTGCCATGTTTCTCCCACCTGACAGTCCACTCCAACCCTCAGGAAAGTTGATTCCCAGGGTTGCAGGACCCACATGGACCAGCCATGTGGGTCAGAAGCTGCACTGAAGAGAGATCAAAATAGATTGTCTTCTATCAGTGGATCTGTGGTTGTTGAAGAAGAAGACGAGGAGGAGGAGGAGATAGGGTTTATACCCTGCCCTTCACTACCCGAAGGAGAGAGGCTTACAATCCTTTTCCCCTTCCCACAACAGACACCCTGTGAGGTAGGTGGGGCTGAGAGAGCTCTCTCAAGAACTGCCCTTGAAAGAACAGCTCTGAGAGAATCTATGACTGACCCAAGGTCACACCAGCAGCTGCATGTGAAGGAGTGGGGAATCAAACCCAGTTCTCCCAGATTGGAGTCTGTGCTTGTAACCACTACCCCAAACTGTCTGTAAAGAGGAGGAGTGGTTTCCCCTCCTTCTCCCTTCTCAGTGCATTGCTGTTAGTTCACACATACCTTGTGACCTTGGGAATCAGCTTTCCTGGTGTCAGAAGCAACTGCTTGGAAAAGGGAACATGGCAAAGACTGGTTGTCCTTATGCTGATAGAGGACTGGATGTAATATGAAGTTCCCTTTTCACAGCTGTGGGTTATAATAAGGCTATTTTGTGGCTGCTATTGTGTTTTTTAAAAGTATTGTCAATTGTGCTTAGGATACTTTCCCCCCCAAAAAAGTATTTTAATATTTTTTAAAAAAATTAAAGAACTAATATGTATTTTACATAGCTTTAACTAGTGTTGAAATGAAGGTGCACAATGGAAGCACCATTAACACCCATCTTTATGAAATTTTCAGAAAACACGAAACCAGGAAAACACTTTAATAAAATGTCCTGGAATGTTGTTATTTATAACTACCTGTTTAATTCACTAGAGTCATTTCAGGCCTCTGCACAGCAGTTTGAGAATAAGAACTCCAAGATCAAACAGCTGCTGGTGAAAACAAAAAAAGAGCTGGCCGACTTGAAACAAACAGTGAGTCCTTCTTTACTGTTTGTTCAGCCTGGTTTTCTTGTAACAAACTAATGCTGCCCCTAGGTGTCTTGCCTTTCATAGTGTCACCTTTACTATGCTTGTGTCTTGTAGGAAAATGAACTTCTGAAAATTCAGGCATCTTTAAAAGGAGAGTTGGAAGCCAGTCAGCAGCAAGTGGAAGTTTACAAGGCAAGGAAAATAAACATTTTTTCTCCTGAGTAGTGGGAGTGGGTGGTACTACCAGAGTGGGAGCCAAAGTTTTTATTTTAAGCCGTCTTCACAGTCTGTGTGGCTTACCCTTGGTGCCATCTTCTCAAACTCTGTTTTGGAAGCTGCGATTATGCTCTTAACTACTTTCCTATCAAATGGCTTGTCTTGAAATCAGCTGAACCTTCAAGTCAGTGCATCTAGGATCTGGGTATTGTTGCAGCTCTTTTTCTGATGTGTTCAATAAGTTTATCTGTGAGAGTAAAAGAGGTAGAGAATAAACCTTGCTTTTAATTCCCTTGGCAGGCAGGCAAACAGTATTGAATGGGCTAAGAAATCTGTACTGCAACTTGCATCTTGGTATAAGCTAGAGGTGCTTTGATTAAGTAAAGCAAGGGCATGCACAAGCAAGCAGAGCACTTCAGAAGTCATATGATCACGTCATAAATGAAGTTATGTGATGATAATCCCACTTAATGGGCCAGTGATGATCCCCTTTAATGGGCAAAGTGAAAGTTAATCCTCTTTTCAGTCTAATTGATCCACTGGAATATGGTTTAAGCATATGCTTTTTAAGGTTCCTATTAAAATCAGGCTTTATTTTGTCTTGTTTGCTTTATTTATGGCTTGCCTTTCTTGCTGAGATGAAAGGCGGATTACAAAATATAAAAATAATTAAGTCAGCTAGCGTCAGATGTCCAGTAAGCAATGCGATAAGACTCGGATTACAGAATTAGAAAACAGGGCAAACGAAAAACGGCCTAAGGCATGACTTACCATAAACAATGCAGAAAGTGGATTACAGAGGTAGAGGACAGGAGAATAAAAAGCAAGATAACGATAAATATTGCAATAGACTACATTCCTGTTGCCTTATAAAAGTCCCCTCCTGGACCGTTCCATTACACTACAATTCTAATCCCCTTATAAAAATGCCTTCCTGAACATTTCTGTTTTACACATTCTCTGGAATGACAGAAGTGTGTGTGTGGGGGACCCTTTCTGAACTCAGGCGGACCGTTCCACAAGATGGGGGCCGCAACAGGGAATGTACGTAAATGGGGAATTGCCAATCTTACCCATTTGCAGGTTGGCGCTTCAGAAGGCTTTGCTCAGAACACCGCTGAATCATTTCTATGAATACAAAGGCAGCTTCCAAAACACATTGCCACCAGGGCCAGATTAAGGCCAACTTGCCCTAAGCACAGCTCAACAGTGGTGCCCCTTGGCCCCTTCCATTGCTTAACTGACAAGA